CAATTTTGCTAGAAAAAGGGGGCGCAACATCGGACAGACCTGGCCACGGTCACAATAGGAGTAGATTCCGTTGCAGTGGTTTTCTGGCGAAACGCAGGAGTAGGGGCCCTCGACCTCCTCGAAGATCCTCAGGCTGAAAGCAAGAGAGAAAATATTAGGAGGTCGACCCTCCCAAAATAGTTAAGGACAAGCGACCAGAAGGCCACACCAGAGAATTTAAAACAGGTACTCACCGGCCATAGAAGAAGCGGGCCCGAACTTCTTAAGGATAAACCCCACTGTATGAGGGAGAACCTAGCTAACCCAATCATGGATATCCTCGACCAAAGGCGGAGGCGTGGCCTAAGCTACACAAAAAGATGAGGTATCAACGTAACAAAAACTAGATGTAACGCAAAATACAAAAAAGGGAGAGAGAGGGAAACGGATGCATACGGGTGTAGATCCAAACCTCGGGGAAACCGTCTGCATTGGTCACTACATCCGTAGTCTTGACGTAGATAGTTGAGCCAAAACCTGCGGTTTGCCTTGTCATCCATTTTCACTGCTAGGCACTTGCCACCCTAGTGACGGAGATGCAAAGGTGGAGGCGTGGCCTAGGCTACACAAAAAGATGAGGTAACTCCGCATATTTTGAAATCATGCAGATTAGCTTGTATATATAGAGAGAAAGCTGGGCAGGGTAGACGCGATAATAACGGCAGAACTCCTCGGCTAAAGGAAGGATATGGAAAGAATAACCGACGTGGAAGGGGTACGCATAAAAAGCGCAGTACCCATGGTGGTGTATCTGCACCACATTGTGCCCTGCATGAACGAGGTCTATGTGAGCGGGAATCTTGAATCTATTTCTAAACTCATCAAGGCTCACCTCATCCATCAACGACTCTGAGATCTCTAGGTCATCCTCGGGCATCTTAGAAAAATCAGACCTAGCCTTCTCAGCATGGGAATTATTTCCTCCATAGTGGGAAAACTATCATCCTCAGAGGCAGTATTAACCCCATCGTTATGAGGAGGCAGACGCACCGACAAGGGAACATGTTCATTTTCCCTCCCAGAATCGGAAGATATATTAACCATCTTTGTTGGTTTATATATAAAGATGATATAAGTATGGAAGAACTATGAATAGCAGAAGTCACCGAAACTAACAAAAATAGAGGTACATGAGTAAAAATAAGAGGACCAGAAACTCTAAATGAAGAAAAAAGAAGAAGATACAAATTTTCAAGGTCAGGGAAAGCAAAGAATGAGGTTAAGGGTTTCATCTCTCTATCTATAACAATCAGGGCATCAGTACCGAGAAAACGAACCGCCAGTGCCCAACACAAGTATTGAACGACAGAGGAACGGGAAATGCTGCAACACATCGGGAAAACGCGTAATAATGACGCATGACGTCACTCCAAATTAATGTAACCATAGGTTACGACTCACAAAGTGCCACGTAGCCACCTCTTCCGGAACGACGCTGTTCGAAACGCCTGCCTAAATATCTCGACCACAACTAACAGCGTCCACTCATCAAGGTCGTCCAGGGTCGACCTCAATAAGCGGAGGGACTAACTGTGTGGGTCTAAATTTGCCTTCAAGAGGTTTAGAATAAAGTGGCATTACGAAAAGTAATATGGCCGAGGTCGAGACCTAAACAGTGGGGGTTATAACCGAGCAGTCGATAACGGCCGAGGTCAAGCATCGAGAGCCGCAGTAAAGGCTATTTTTGTAATAGGATCTTTAGAAGAATATTCCACTAAATATTCTTTGTACCTGTACTTTAAGGGTTGAAGGGGAGCATGTCCCATATAAGTAGAAAGAGAGATAATGTGAAAGCTATGCAATATTGTATGAGAAAAACATTCTTTGAAAAGCAGGTTCTCTGTCTAGATGGAATACAAATGTTACCTTTCTAAAGAGATTCGATTGTCTATTATTCCACACCTTTTCCATTAGATCCGAGAAGGATCCCAATTGTCTAGTATTTGTCTTTCATCCATCATTGTCAGGAGGAGGAATCATCCACCTCATTCAATATTGGGTTAATCATTCTCCTTATTTACTTTAATGTCATTTACTGTTATTTATTTCTTGACATTCCTTCCTTTTTAAAGGACTCGAAGCATTAAATGCATGCTGCATTTAATCTTCTTCTAGCGCTACCCTACATCACTTATATTAATCGATTATAGATTTGAAGTTATTATTATTAACTAAGTTTAACCCCTCATTATAGAAATTTAATTTGTTTAATCAATGATCTACACTTTTTGGTCAAATAACTCCATCCACAACTATTTTGTAGTGATGGATGCGAACTTAGCAATAAATAAGCATAGAGTACATTTTTAAAAGTTCTACTATGTATTTAAACTTCAAGTAAAGAGTTAATATTGTTTAAACTTACTACATTTCTCCCCTTACTGAAAAGATTATTTAGACATCTATGCTTTAATGGACTTAAAGATCGATACACCCCTTCATTATATAATTAAGTATATGCTTCTTCCGTCCCATGTGATATTTTTTTCTTTTTAGTCGACAAAAAAGGAATAATATATTTTTATATTTATTTTTGAATTCAACTTTAAATTTTCATATTCTAAATGCGATAATTTCTAGCCACACAAATTTCTATGATATATTTTAAACCACAATCTTTTTTTATTTCTTATGTTCTATGCCCAGTCAAACACTTTCACATAAATTAAGCGGGGTGGATTATAACCCCAAGTTTATTTCCTAGTATATATGGCGCCATTTATTTCTCTTTTTGGTAGAAGACCAATTACATCTATGCTATCTAGGGGTGTTCATAAAAATCCGAAAACTCGAACCAAACCGACCAAAAAAATCGATACTTTTTGGTTTGGTTTGGTTTTGGTTTTGAAATTTAAAAATTGATCAAATTTGGTTTGGTTTTGGTTTTAATTAAAAAAAAACCATACCGAATATAGGAGTATACATAGCTATTTTTAAATTTATTATTACACCTATATTTATGTATACTTTTATACAAAGTTTTAAAATTTTTATACTAAATATTAATCGTTTGCACTTTTAATACAGTTTTTTACCTTTACATTCTAGTTTAATTGGTAGTTTTCTTTTGTTAAGTGTAATAATCTATTTCATATTAAAAATAATATATTTTTAATTGAGTCCTTAAATTATTCATCACTATTTGATTCAATTATCATCAATATATCTTGGTAAATAATAGATTTCTCAAAGGGCAATTGATTTGATAGTGTTACGTTGAAAATGTGGTCGCCGAAATATGTGTTTGGTAGTGTATGTCTTATATTTAAGAAAAAACCGACAAATAGCCGAAAAACCGACAAATAACCGAAAAACCGACATAAACCAAATCGAGAAAAACCCAACTTAATTGGTTTGGTTTGGTTCTAATATTTGAAAAACCGACTTACTTGATTTGGTTTCTTTTTAGGGAAAAATCGATCCAAACTGAACCATGAACACCTCTATTGCTATCTTATCTTAACTATAATCTCTCGTCATCAAGATGAACTTATAGGAGTGTAATATTTGTCTATATGCGATATTTGTTTTCAAAGTCCTTTGCACTGTGTATATATATGCTTTCATAATTAATCTATTTGTCGTTGGAATGTCAATATGACATATCCAATTATCCTAACTCCTGAGAACGACACATCAAAAAATATATATTACTACATGGTGAATTAATTATATATTTTTTAAAACCTCNATATATATATATATTTATTTATTTATTTTAATTTTTTTTTTAATCCTAAACTCGTCACTTGAAAAGGAGCTTTTTGCATCTTGCAACTTATACTTTTGAGCTTGAGTTATAAGCAACAACCCTACCAAGTAAAAAATTAAAAAAAAAAGGATTGACGCCAATACTTCAAGTTAACCTTCTCTTACTTGTATTTTTCACATAATACACGCTGTATTTGGAAGAACAATTTACTAATAAAGAAATCATAATTTAGATTGTGAAAACACATTTTAGTGTAACGGTCCTATTTAGATTTTTCAACAACAACCCCAATCAAATATTATAACAACAACAATAAATTCAGTGTCATCTGAATTTAAAGAAGATAGTGTGTACGTAAATCTTACCTCTATATTAAACAAATAAGTAAATTGTTTCCGATAAATCATCTCAAGAAAAAACTATTTTTTTTAAAAAAAATAGTAGTAACATACAGTAATAAGATATCAAGAAAATCAAAGCAAAAGAAATATGATACAGTAATAAAAATTTAAAAATAAGAAAGTATATGACTAAGGCATGGACAAGAAGGCACGACTACCGCTAGTATAAATTATTAAATACAAAGAGGATTTCTGAGAAAATACCAAAAAGTTCGTATGTTAATGATTAGCCACGTGTCCATGACTTAACCATTTTTATTTCTTTTTTAATTCTCTTCTCCTCCTTTTTATTAGAGTGGAAGCACATGAACATAGCAGAGCATTCCTTATATTTAGCTTCTACACTTGTTATATTAAAGAAGGAGATCTAACCCAAGAAAATAGCTACTCTTTTCCATTTTTAGCGAGTTGACAATTAAAAAATCATTGTTTTTTTCTCTTTCCATAACCGTCCAATTATAATCCTACATATACTTGACTTCTCGTTCATACCCATTTTTTAAAAAAATTTATGAGGAATTCTCTCCTTTTCTCTTAAGGAAGAAGATTATAGTTTGATTTTATTTAATTCTTCGAATTTCCAAATGTTTAAAACATTTTCTATGTCCTCCCGAATGGGAAGAGACTTACAAAGATACAATGAAGGTTGTCGTCAAGTTGTTGGGTACGTATTTCTTTTAATTCTTTTTATTTTTGAAAGTCAAAATATTTCAAGTGGGTTGTTATTTTTATTTTTATTTTCATTTCTTTATCTTTCTTATTTGTGTTTAAGACCAAAAGATAAATGGGGAAGTTTTTGGATACAAGGATTAATTTTTTTTTATCTTAGTTTCTTACAGAGTCGGATTTAAACTCTATGATTTCAGCCTTTAACATTTTTAGCATTGAACTAATTATACTTTTAAAACTATAATTAGCTTTAAATTGATGACTTGGAGTTTTTATTGATCAGCTCACAAAAGAGTCCAAGAGTAATGTTCCCTAAGGTAGACATGTCTATAACAAGTCCATCAAAATTTCCTATTGATTTAGCTAATTGGATTATTGTTTTATCACTGCTCAACTGAGGTAAAGTTGATAACATGTGACCGGGAAGTCACGAGTTCGAGTCGTGAAAACAGCCTCTTGCAGAAATGCGGCTGCGTACAATAGACCCTTCTTGTCCGGCCCTTCTCCGGACTCCGCGCATAAAGTAGTTTAGTGCACCGGGCTACCGGCTGCCCCTTTTTCGTATTCCTCAATTGACATTATTGGTTTTGCAATGAATTTACAGGGGGGTTGGGAAATTGATGAGTCGTTGAAAGATGCAGCTTTACGAGAGACCTTTGAGGAAGCTGGGGTTCTCGGCGAGGTTGAAGTTCAGGTTCATATCTGCATCTTAAAGTTATAATTATCGGTATAAGATTAAGCGCGAGATTTTTAAAATCTTTAGTTTTTTATTAAAAGACAGATAATTTAGTATTGGAATGAAATGAACCTTGATGAAATAGATACAAATGATTCATGTAGTTGATTCTGATTAATTAAAAATGTAACATTAGTTGATTGATTTTCTCGTATATATAAGCCTTTTGTTATTGCTGGTTGAATGCAGGATTACTTAGGTACATGGAGTTTCAGGAGCAAAAGCCAAGGCACATTTCATGAGGGGCACATGTTACCTTTGCTTGTAACTGAGGAATTAGATGATTGGCCTGAGAAAACTGCCCGTCGACGTTTCTGGGTTTGTAAATTTTGGATCTCCGCTATCTTTCTATTATCCTTTTGATATCAATTTCTTAGGTTAGATAATGCAGACAGATCCAAAATGTACAACAACAAACCCAGTGTAATTCCATAAGTGAGGTCTGGGGGAGGGTAGTGTGTACGCAAACCTTACCCTTACCATATAAAGATAGAGAGGTTGTTTCCGATAGACTCGCGGCATACTTTTAACCTATATCTTTACAAATTTTTATAAAGTTTGAATACATGTATCTAGTTTGAGGTGTATTGCCCTGATGCTTGATTTGCCTTTGTAAGTAGCATGTTTTGATATGTGGTAACTTTGCTCACTAAGCTTTAGGCAGAGATGATTATTTCCGATATGTCTAAGTATTGATGGGCAGAGTTATTCCGTACTTATGCTGGTGAAAGCTTCAGTAAAAGAATGTGTTTTGATGTGGTGTTTGATTAAATTTGCAGATGAAATTTAATGAAGCGCGAGAAGTATGTTGGCATCCATGGATGAAGGAGGCGTTAGACGTCTTTGCTTCAAAGCTCGCTTATAGAAACAAAGAAGAGCCTCAGACATCATGCCCTTTCAACGAATTGTCAGATAAAACAATGACAAACATTGATACTACAGTCGCTAACCAAATGTACGATGAAGAACCAAGAATCGAAGCTGAAGCTAATCCTTTGACATGTGATGGGCCAAGCATCAACCCAATCTTCGAAGATGAACAGATAATTAGTACTGTAGCCGATTCCATGTTCATTGAGACATTGTTCAGTGAAGAACTGGGAATTAGCCATGTAGCTGCACCAATGTTCAATGAAAGTAAACGAATAAGTATTATTGCTCACAGCTAGCAACGAAAGAAAGAGGAGAAACGTCAGCAAGCTTAAGAAGCATTAGTGGCGAATCCAGAATTTAGACGTTGTGAGTTCTGAAATGTATATCATTCTATTTTCACAACACACATATATAGTTAGCACTGGTTTTGCAAACGTGGTGAACTGGTCATTTGCTCCGCCACTGAGAAACAAAAATAGGCATTGTACTTTGAACCAAGGATCAAGATAGGATGCCTATTCAGTAGAATTCTCAAGGATCCAGGAACCAAGAATGAAGATAGTATGTGAAAGTTTGTGTTAAGTGTAAATAGATTAGGAACTTAAGGGTACATAGTCCGTCTTTTGCTGCTTATTGTACATACTCTCTGACCAATATATTAGTATGAATGTAGAGACTGACATATTATATATGGTTTTACTTTCAATCTCTGTATCTTCAATCTGCAAAGAGAAAGAAAAACCTCAGAATCCTGTTTGATAGAAACCTTGATTATTTTGGAAGCTCAATGGCATTGATCACACCTACTGCCCGAAGAATGATAATACATTAGCGCCCAAGTCCTTCTATTGACTGTGAATTCAAGCAATAGAAGAAAGAGGTTAAGCTTGACAATGGGTTTCTTGTGGAGGTAAAAATATTTGAGGACATGAGTTCATTTAGGGGCAAAGAGAGTTAGAGGGTTTTATGTACAAAATTTGCTGGCTTCATTCTTTAATTCATTGTTTGAGGTTTATACATTCTTTGATATTTTTGAGTACACAAATTAATCTCATTTGTAACATTCCAGAGTCCATTGAATGGTTACTCAGTCATTCGAAATTTATCGAATAAAGTCATGTTTCTTTTGTTCGTAATAGAAACGTGACCTAATTATTTAATAGCATTTAAAAAATTATTCAACTAGATTTTTTAAACTTTTGGTGGCCAAATACTAATTTTAGCCTCTAAATCATCAATCTTTATCTTTTCTTGAGAAATTGAATAAATGAATAAAATAGTTTTCGGGCATATATAATGTTGGAACAAAATAATTGAGTTTTCAAGTATATATAATGTCACGATCCAAAATCCATTTAAGGTCGTGATGACGCCGGACACCGCAGTCAGGCAAGCCAACAATAAATACTTAATTTAGTTCTCATTTTAACATTTTGAAATCATAATTTTCTTTAATTTAAATAGTAAACGATGGCGTTTACAGAGTAGATCATAAAGGTTTAACCATTTCAATACTGAACAATTCGTAATCACCCCAAAATTCGGTGTCACAAGTGCATGAGCATCAACTAGGAATATAAAACAAAATACAACATTTGTCTGGAATACAATTAGACAGGAAGGATAAAAACAACTCTGAAGGAGACTCTGCTGACTGCGGGCCATAACATAGAATGCAACTCACCTAAGTCCCCGCTTTAGCCGTGCCTCTGCGCCCATAAGCCACTAAATATATATGCCTGCACAACAGAATGTGCAGCAAGTGTAGTATGAGCACGTAAACAACGCGTACCCAGTAAGTATCCAGTCTAACCTCGAAAAGTAGAGACGAGGGGTCAACTCCGACACTTACTATGAGCTATAAATAAGATGCCAATGATATAATTTAAACATCGGTTATATAGAACGGTTGTAAGATCAATATTATGAAGTAAGTAAGCAACTCTTTTATAAATAAGATACCTCCAAATTTCTTTCTCATCATTTAACAATTTATCTCAGGCCAATGAGGCAATATCATTTATTATAAATTTTAAAGCAATCAATTTAATCATGCGCAAATCATGCCGATGTCGTACGGCTCGATCCAACAGATAAATATAAATTGTGCCCTGCCGAGAGTCGAATGGCACGAACCATAAATGCATCTATTAAATCTGCTGAGGCGTTCGGCCCGCTCCATGTAAAGATAAACACATTTAAACAACCAAATCAAGAATTTATTAAGGGGCAATTATTCAAGGAAATACCAATTCTCATTTAACGGTCAAGAAAACGAATTTTATCTTTTAAAAATTCCTTTATCAAGTTCAATGTGATTTAGGCAATCAAGTTAACAAGAAGGTTGCAAACATTGCAAGTATAGCATGATTTGGGTCCTAGACTACTCGAACTTAAGCATAATAGTAGCTATGCATGGACTCTCGTCACATCGTGCATACGTAGCCCCCAAAAATAGAAGCACATATTGTATTATTTCACCTATGGGGTTAATTCCCTCTTATAAGGTTAGAAAGGAGACTTACATCACTCCGAAATTCAATAACCGGCTCCCAAGCCCTTCCAACAACTCAAATCGATGTCCAACGCTTCAAAACTAGTCAATAAATGAGCAATTCCATAAATATATACTCTAATACTCATTAAAATCCTATTTACAACAAGTTCCAACTCATCCCCCTCGGATCCACGTTCCCGGATCCAGAAAATTTTTGAAGATAAACTTTACGCATAATCCCACGAACTCAAATATATAATTTATTTCTAATTTCATACCCAAATTCGTGGCAAAATCCAAAAATATCAATTTTTAGTTTTTTCTTCAAAATTCCAAGTTTCTACAAATTTTCATGTCTAAATCCATATATAAATCTTGTATTTAACTCAAAATTAGAAGAAATCACTTACCAGTTGATGAAGATGGAACCCCCTCTCAAAATGCTCTTAAAAATTGCGTAAGTCCAAGTGGAAAATGAGAGAAATAGGCTAAGACCCGGAAAATTAAAAGCCCTTGGCTCCAGTTGCAGATGTCGCAAATTGTCCTCGACATGGTCGCATTTGCGACCAAAATCTTCGCAAATGCGAAGAGGAAAGCATCGCAAAAATGATCAATTCTTCGCAAATGTGATCCTTCCCTCAGCAGCCCAGGTTCGCAAATGCGAACACTACCTCGCAAATGCGATAGTCGCATTTGCAACCAATACCTCGCAAATGCGATCACGCCAGAACCACCAATTCCAACTTCTTTACAAAATACTCCGAAGCTACTCTGAAACTCACCCGATCCCCCGGGGCTCCAAACCAAATACCCACACAAGTCTAAAAATATAGCACGAACTTTCTCAGGGCCTCAAATCACATCAAACAACCTCAAATTCATGAATCGCACCCCATTCCAAGCTTAATGAACTTTAGAACTTCAAACAACCATATTCGATGCCGAAACCTATCAAATCACGTCCGATTGACCTCAAATTTTGCTCACAAGTCACATTCGACATTACGGACCTACTCCAACTTCCGAAATCGGTATCCGACCTCGATATCTAAACGTCCACTTCCGGTCAAACTTCTCAAAAATCTTTAAATTTCTAACTTTCGCCAAATGACCCCATAATGACCTATGAACCTCCAAATCTACTTCCGGACATGCTCCCAATACTAGAATCACCATACGAAGCTATTCCATACTTGGAATCCCCAACGGACATTGATAATATTGAAATGCACTTCAACGCAAATTTATGAAATTTTTCCAAAATGCCAACTTCCATAATAGGAGCCGAAACGCTCTCAGGTCATCCAAAACCCGATATGGATATATGCCTAAGTCCATAATCATCATATGCCTGTTGGAACCTTCAAATCCCGATACCGAGGTCGTTTACTCAAAAATTCAATCTTAGTCAATTCTTCCAATTTAAAACTTCTGAAATGAGAATTTTCTTTCCAAATCAACTTTGAACTTTCGAAATCCCAATTCCGACCATGCGTACAAGTCATAATACCTGAAGTGAAGCTACTCATGGCCTCAAACTGCCGAACGGCGCGCTAGAGCTCAAAACGACCGGTCGGATCGTTACATTCTCTCTCACTTAAACATACGTTCGTCCTCGAACGTGCTAAGAATTGCTGTGGTGTTGTCTAAAATCACTATTTAACACCTCGCGCACCTACCCATGCTACCACAACTCAGTTGAGCACATTAGATCGAGCCAATATGAAGATTCTCCCTTTTTTTATTGTCAAATAAGCCTTAGAGCCCAATTCCAACATCCGGAATTCTCTACCAGGCATGTTTCCATCATACAAACATCGTATCAATCATTGCATGATGCACCAATACATGATTGCATACCTTTGTTGAATCCACACTATGCACTTCATAACTCACATGTCTATAATAACATCCTCTGGTAACAATAGCCAAAATTTCATGAATCTGATGCTCACAACACACCTCATGACACATATAAGATATGTTCCAACTCTTGCAATAATGCCATGACGGAAGAGATGTATGGGAATTCATAACCAATTGTCGAGTCAATAGTTCATTGAGTTCCTCCTCTTGACAAGAACCATTACCTCATTATGGACCAAATAACGGTATTTTCTCTTTAATACGCTTTACAAAAATGCAATCGCACTGATCTGATGCCCAATAATCTTGTCTCAACCAGAATAAGCTGCTCAGGCAATAAGCCACCCCAGACATTGCCAAAAGTCTCATGTGATGCGACAATGTGCCAAAAAGCCACAAACTCGAATGTGATACATAAGGAAAACAAACTCTGGAAAAACTACTCAACCCATGTAACTAATTAATCAACCGAAAAGGTGTTATGAAACTTCCTCAGAAAATGAGAAACAAGACGCACAAGAATAAATATAGGGGATTGTACTTAACATCACGCTGTTGCGGCGTGCAACCCGATCCACACATAATACCGTTGCGGCGTGCAACCCGATACAACAACATACCCGTGGTGGCGTGCCACCCGATCCAACCATATACCTATGGCGGCGTGCCACCCGATCCACGCGTAACAATAAATAGGGAAGTACCCATCAAGCCAAAAATACTTATACCTACGAAATACCCGAATATCAACCACAAGCACGGGAAGTGCATAATACAAACCTTAAGAAGATGGACAACGTCATACGCTACGAAACTCAAGCACAACTAAGGTGCAAAAAGAGCCCCCCTGCTCTCACAACAACACGAATTTCACAGGATCTCAATACGAGTGCGAATAATCAAATCGCATCACACCCACATGGCACAATAGAGATTACACGGAATGGCTGACGACAAAAATAACATCCAAGGCCCGAAGACTCCTCCGTAAATAATGCTATGCTGAAATGAACACATTCGGTATGATATAGAGCTCACATTCATATTTAGATCCATCCATGGACCTCAAGCCAATTCTGATTGTACCGTACTAGACTAAAAATCTTTCAAGGATCCACCATAACCCTTTTTCATGACTACATGTCACACTTATACAATGTTCCCATAGGATACGCTTCCATGAACTTCCGCACCAGGTAATAAGTCTGCACATCCATACCACCGGCCATACTAATACGTAAAGCGAATCAAGGACCCGCAAATCAGTACACAAAGCCTCTTACACAAGACACCAACCTCAGGTGATGCTGAAGACAATACCAGCTTACTCTAAACATCTGAATCCTTTTCTGCTCATCCGAGCTCGTGACATTCTTGTCAACACCGAACTACGACCTTGATCCTTACTCCAAATTCCCATGTCGCTCACTGCACCTAATATACCAATACGTAAGAGTACAAGAATTTCATCATAACTTCTGAACCACTAATAGGGTAGATACTTCATCATATAGAAACTTTTTACTTAGCTCATTTCAAGAAAACCATTGCAACATGTGACTTAATTCTCATAACCGCAGAAAATACAAACCTCGAGTAGTGGTCTGAACTACCAAAATTCCTTCGGGATCCATCTACACATAATGGCCATAATACTC